TAATAGTAGTTTTAATGATTGCCAGCATCAGACAGTGGATGTGGTACATTCTCAAACGTTTCGTCGATATCGTCAGTGAGTGTGACCATTCTCCGAACTGAGCTACGAACTCGTCAAAGAGACAAGTGAAGTCAATCTCTCGACAAATGTTCTGCCGAAAACGGTTACATTATTACTCCACTTTCTGTCCTAGCCTATCTATCTATTTACTTGTCTCTTTAAAGAGTTCATAGCTTGGTAAGACGAATGACAAAACTCACTGATGATGCCGACGAAAAGTTTGAGAATGCACCAAGTCCACTGTCTGATGCTGGGAATCATGACAACTACTATGACAGACGACTTCGGACTAGGTACGTTCTACTAAGTCGCCCTGACAACAAGACCAAGTTGCGACAATGAGGTATCACATTTTCGCAACATTCTGACGGGTATTAATAGCGGCTGCCTGTATGTGTTTATAGAAGTGTAAATGGATTTCTCTTTTTCACCGGTTCGGTTGCAAGCTTTTCTGTTGGCGTTCTTGACGTCTGCCTTTCTATTGCTCTTTTAGGCGTGAAAACGAGGCATGGATCCATCGGCGTCACAGGCCGCGTCAAATCAGGCGATTGCTCCAGTTACAAGCCAGAATACAACACGAAGTCCATCGCGATGTATGCACTTGAGGCAAATCTCTCCGTTGGCCTGATCACCACCACGCGGATAACACATGCAACGCCCAGTGGACTGTATGGGCATGTGCCACATCGATCATGGGAATACGATGAGTATGCAACCAATGGCTAAGAAGCAGAAGACCCCACAAGACCTACCTTTGCGTGTTGGTGTCAATGAGGCTTGAGGCCAAAGCAGGGTTATGTGAGAAGGCAATAGTTTGTTTGGTACCACTTTATAAGTCAAGCAGACGGCTCTGAAATTGTCATAATTGTGCCCATCCTCCCCCAAGTCCGCATAATCCGTAATGAGCTTCGCTCTTTCAGGCCATAGATACTGTTGCAACGAGCGACCCCTCTCAATCAGGTCTCCCTAAGAGTCTCAGAGACAGAGTGACGCTTTTTCTTTAGCTTGCTTAACTTACTTACTTCTGATTCGTTAGGAATGGTAATCATGTCAAGGAATTGATATTTCGTCTTCAACTGGGGTCAGCCTTCCCCAAATTCGTTTTTTTCTAGACCAAAATTATAATGAAATAGTCGATAAAATAGTTAGACGCTAAGAAATATGACAAAGTGGGCTGGGCCAAGGAGCCCTATTTAATTCAACATAAAAGTTCGAATCCCTGTTATAGATCAGCTGATGAAGGTGGATAGATCTCTGTGATTTCATAATCTGTTGCTGATCACCAACTACATGCTTAACACTCTTCTCATTTGTAGCTCAGGGAGAGCAGAGCTGCCAACTCATCAGGATAGTATAGAAGATTGAAGATAGCTAAAGACAGCAATTGCTCAAGCCGAGAGTATACCCTATAAGAAATGTATTCACGCTAGGCTACACAAGATGATGTGAGATTGAAAACTTAATTCTCGCAGATTTAGCTGGTTAGGTAGTAGTATCTCACTTGATTTAACATGTGAGGCCATCCGTCCTTCATCAAATAGTGCAAAGTAAAGTAGAGTCATTCAAAAAGAGTATATTTCGAGACATTTAGTAGCTCTTTAATAAAAGCTATATTACACCTAGGCCACATAAGGCAATATAAGGCTGACAGCCGAATTTTCACACAATTAATTTCACATAGCCATACTTAACAAAAAGGTATTCTCATCCAGGGTTTACTTCAGTTTCCACCTACTCATTGGGGATATAAGTAACGTGGTGAATATGAATAGCAAAATACAAATTTGGCCTTTATTGGCAAGCCCACTAAGATATGTTTAAAATTACATGATAGTCTTTTAGCCTACATATTGTGAATAAAGCTGTGTCAAAAACAATTAATTTATATAAGATGCATTCACCATATTTTTCGGCTAAGGTGCTAAAAGAGTGGTAGTTTAATTTTCCCACTCTCATATCAGTAGGCCTTCACATATCCTTGCATCTCACATGCGATTTTTATCCTGGGTGGAGTACAGTTTTGACCTCGTCTAGGCTTCATCAGTACAGTCAGCGCGACTAAAACCTAGAAAGTTAACCCTTAGTGCCCTCCTTGGATCAAAAGGTAGATGTGCATTTCAAGGAAGATCAGACCTTTTTCCATGTAACATTATGTGATGAGATTGTCGATGAAACAATATTTTATTTGCTGCTGCAATCGATTACACTACTCATTATTCATTGTAATAGGTAGGTTTTAGTGATTGTTAGTAGATCATATATACGATATATTTTCACTTATCTATTATTGTGTGATAATTGAAATACCAGTTCTTCACCACCTTAACGAAATAGGGTGAATACATCTACCTAGCTATAAAAACGAAAAACAATTCTTTATTTCTTGATTTTATAAAGCATTTGGATTTATATATTTGAGGCAATTTCCAGGCAAGAATTTAAGTATTGTGTTCAGACGTATTCTTTAGAAATATAAGTCATAAGAATTAATTGAAAACAGCTAGTAATTAAGCTCACTTAACACTAACTAATTCTAGGATTATTTAGAATTGACTTTTATGGACTTTCGCATATAAATTCTAGTTTTATTAATTTTGGACTCTAAAGGCCTTCACTCTTCTGGTCCTTAGATCAAACGAGAGCACATGCGAGCACCTGAATGGGCATCCTATCATCAAGCATAGCATGACAACAATTAGACCTATCTTTGTCCGAGAATGAGATTATTTAACGAGATCTACGCAAATCTAATAGCATTTCCTCTGGCCGCTGTAAAGGGAAGCTGCTAATTGACATTAAGATCATTTGCTAAAATAGTTACAATGCTACAAACAGGGGCCAACTAAAAATGTGGTTACGAAATATCTCACCAAGTCAAGCCAGCAGGAATAAACAAAAGGTTTTTCATTTATAAGCAGAGTTTCGAGACTCATATAAACAAAAAGTGTTAAAGAGCACTAGCAAAGTACGGACATGCCACCATCCTACATTAAATGGAGACAGTGGCTTCAGCCCATATCATGGACAACATCCTAATTAATTTTACTCTATACATTTAAAGTTATAAGTTTACAAAATATTTTGTTGTTTTCCTCGAGTGCTATCTTCTTAATGTTCATTTTGACGCATCGCCAATCCATAAAATTATTCTAAAGACTCCTTCAAGCCGATACTAAGTTAAGTAAACTCACATTTATATTACAGTATATTAAATTGTTTCTTCAAAAGCACCGATTAATTTGGCATAAAGTGACCCATTTAGTTCAATATAATGCACATAGTCATAGCGATTATGCTTCGAAACAATCTGTAGATCTGTAATAAGTAGTTGAGGCAACCCAGGTCACTTAAGATGATACTAGGACTGTTAGCTCGATTTCAACAATGAACAGAATAGTCCCCGTGATGCCAGTGAATTGACTCAACTTTGCTTTCCGAAACGTTTTCTGTTCCAGCGTTTCAAATGTCGTTGATGGTACTGATGAGACCAAGATGTGGTTGAAAAGAAAGTCAATACTTGGTGAGAAAAGCTTTGAGAGGTTATGGCTAAGTGAACTTTAATGACATTACAAAGTCAACCCATTTCATTGTAGGAAATCGAAGTAGCCGTCACTACAACGCTTTATGTGATCTAGGGGCGGTCAAGCTCTCATGTACCTGTCTGTCAGCGCCTGTGAGTGTGTATGCGTGCATGCAAGTATGTATGCAGGTGCGAATGTGTTATGAATCACTTGCGTTAATTTTTAAGTAATCAGTGAATACACTGCGTGTCAATAAGGACTAAATAAACTTTTAAGTCGAGGAAACGAAAACTTTCACTTAATAGTAGTGGAATTATAATCCAAAATGAAAGACTAGCTGTAGAGAAATGTTAACATATCTGAGATGTATCATTGAGTAATGAGTGAGCAAAAAGATCCCAGCAAACAAGTACATAGGAGGGTATAGATATCAACTTTGATGCTATATTAATCTGGGTCTAGACCTTGGTGTGTGGATCTATTGCTGTATTGTATACAATAAGGAAGGCTAGTTAGGCAAAAGTAGTGGTTTTACTATGAAAGTACCTGTCTAAGCTTAGCAAATATATAACGATTTAGTAGAATTTTTTTAGGAGTACTTTTTACGCTTCCGTATATGTGAATTTATACATGTTAAAATGTTAGCAAAGCCTAACGGTAGAAATTGTTATTAATTCATAACTTGTTAATCACAAGATTGGATGGTAATTTTGATATCTGAAGATCTGCCAAATAAAGTTTAGATTAGTTGGCCTGGCCAAATACTCGGTATAAGGACGACAAGTGATCTGAATACAAGATAATGTATTACTTTTGTAAGTTATACTCATTAAGGAAAGTGTGTGGCTGAATGGCGACGTGCATAGGAGAGCAGCATATTAAAAAAGTTAAACTTATTATTTCCTCCAAAAATGGCTAAATTTAATGATAATTTTGGTTGAAAATGTATAAAGATGGCAGTAAAAACTGATTTACAGGATAAGTTGGCATTTTCTCTAATCATGCCTTCTTTGAGGAACATTCTGATCCATTACCAAAAAATAAATCGGAGGTAAAATATTTCATACTCAGCGGTTGCTGAGCCTGCAAAGGTAACTTCTAAGTACAAAAATC